AGCCCCTAGTAGCTTCTTGCTCCTAGTAGTAAGGCCAGGGGCCCCTAGTTAGTAGCTTCTTGCTCCTAGTACTAAGGCCAGGCGCCCCTAGTAGCGTCCTTCTCTTGGTTTTTGCGACTTCACAGCGTTGGTACAGCTCCACCGCAGCCCAGCCTCGAAAAAGCACGCATCGCTTGCCGCAGCTCCGGTCCAGCAAATTTGCTCCACAGGTCCTCCTCGTAGGAGGCATCGTTGGAGGCATCCCTTAGTAGGTTTGGAATGCTTTGCCTCAAGCAACGCACACTTCCAGATGCTGTTTTTTAGGATCAAGCAAGCGCAGAAAAAGATTCTATTCGTCATCATGGAGGCAGTGCTATTAGGTTGGAGGCCATTGCTAGTAAGCAGTGCACTGCATTTGCACTTTGTTGGCCGCATGAATTGCATGAGCATCAGCCCAATTCAACGCAACAGCCACCAGTGCCTCCCATGACAGTTCCCACTCTGAAGTGCCCGTGGTCTGCAGGGCCCAAAGCTTTCAGCGATGGTTTTTGCTCCTAGTAGCGAACCTTGTTACTAGTAGCGTTCTTGCTCCTAGTAGTACGGCCAGGAGCCCCTAGTAGCGTTCTTGCTCCTAGTAGCGAGGCCAGGAGTCTCTAGTAGCGTCCTTGTTCCTAGTAATTAGCGACGTGTTTCAAATCATGTATTTCACCTTGACTTGATGTTTAGATGCATGTGTAGGGTGTGGATGTTGAATTCAATTCTAATTCTAATTTTGTTCTAATTATATACTTTTAATTATTGTTTCTAATAGCTTCTTGTTACTAGTAAGGCCCTTGTTCCTAGTAGCGATGCCAGCCCCGAACGTAGCGTCTTGTTACTGTGGGTGTGGATGTTTGGTCCAGAAGCGTTGACGTGTGGGAAGGCCTTTGACGTGTCATAAGGTGGTGGGGATCAGCAGTTTGCTTGGGATGTCGGAACCTGAAAGAGACAAGGCCAAGTGGAGCGCTACTAGTAGCAAAGGGCATCGCTAGGAACGGAGCGATCGGACGCTACGAACGGGGCTCCTGGCATCGCTACTAGGAACCAGAACGCTACTAGGAGTATTCTTACTTAGTAATAACAATTAGTAGCTTCTTGTTACTACTAGTAAGGCACCTGTTACTACTAGCGTGGCACTTGTTCCTAGTAGCTTTTGGTGTTTCACGGAAGACGTTTGGGGTCAGTTGCAAAGGTTGGCCGTCGACGCAGTGTTCGACTTTGGTGAAGCTGACAGAGCCGTGGGCTTTGGTTTCCGTATTTCTGTTTGCCGTGGGCTTTGGAATGTGTTTTGGAGGCCAAAACTTACTACTGCACCCTCTTGTGGCAGCCCCGGAAACGTGGCAAAATCAAGACAAAAGAACGCTACTAGGAACAAGGACGCTATTAAGGGCTCCTGGCATCGCTACTAGGGGCTCCTGGCCTTACGAGGAACCAGGACGAAAAAGCAGCAAAAGCAGCGAAGCAACGAAGCGGCGAAAAAGCGATTTGAGGCCGAGCCTCACGAGCTTCCCTTTTTCTTTGCGGGTCGTGTGCCTTGGGTCCGTGCATTTACCCTCAAGTCTGAAGCTACTAGTAACAAGTGCCTTACTACTAGTAATAAGAATTTAACTAGAATTCTAATTAATAGCTTCTTGTTACTACTAGTAAGGCACCTGTTACTACTAGCGTGAAGTTTGAATCATGGGTGTTTTTTCATGTGTGTTTGTTATTTCTCTAATTTCTGTTGTCTTTCTTTACTTTTGAAAGGACTCCAATAGACTCCTCCGACATCCTCGCCACATCCCTTTAAAAACCTTTAGACCTTTAACGTGTTTCATTTCATTCAATTTGATTCCTGGTTTTCGCTCACTGCTTGATGCTCCTCAGGATCCCGGTGCTTTTCTCGGGTCTTTCCATCCTATGGAATCTCTCAAGCCGACACCTTTTTGGAGCTCGCAGACGGCTATAGCAGAAGAATTGCGTAAGATTTGACTTGATATTGTTGCAAACAACTTTTGTAGTCATTTGTGTCAAACTTTTGGCCATGAACGGCTTTCCTCGCCTTTGAGGCTCTTGGACTTGGCATCGCACTCAAGCTGAAAACGCTTACGAGACAAGTTTTTGTCCAAAACCACCACGTGGTTTTGTCTTTCACCACACCTGAAGCAGAATTCTGAGGTGCGAGGCGACAAAAGTGTCGTCAAGACTTGACAGTCCGGCAGTCTACCACCTTGGCACCTGTGCAGTGGTGGCCTGAGACGGGAGTCCGATCGCCAACCAAATAGCTTCTAGCTTACTAGTAGTTTCTTGTTCCTAGTAGTAAGGCACTTGTTACTACTAGCGTGGCACTTGTTTCTACTAGCTTCTTGTTACTACTAGTAAGGCACTTGTTCCTAGTAGCTTCTTGTTCCTAGTAGTATTGGCCTCCACCCTAGTAGCGATGGGCCTCCCAAATCGCAAACTATATTAGACTCAAGCCATCCTTTTCTCCGAAACGAAGTCCACCAAGTCCAACATGTGACACGAATTCCTTGTCTTCCGACCGACAAGCTGGGTGCTCCGTTGTGCTCCGAGTCCAGTCCTGTCCAGGTGTTGCTCTTGGGCGGTACGCCTTGCTTTGCCGTCTCGGTGAGAGCTGCCGGGAGTCCCGAAGGAAGCGAACGAAACGCGTTTGCTTGAGCATCGCTACGAATGGAGCGATCGGACGCTACGAACGGGGCTCCTGGCCGTACTACTAGGAGCAAGGACGCTACGAACGGGGCTCCTGGCATCGCTACTGGGAGCAAGGGCCTTACTACTAGCAACAAGAAGCTAGTAGAAACAAGAATAATTAGTAATTAAGTTTAATTAGAATTCAAATATAGCAAAGGAATCTACTAGGACCTTTGGGCTCCGTTCGGTTCGCGTCCGACTCGAGTCGCGATACCCGGGTCGCCTCGAACTCGTAGCGTCCTTTTGGTTACTCGTTGTAAGTCTTCATTAGAAGGGGTAAGTAACTTGAAGTTCAGTTAGAGGTCACTGGGTTTATTCTTGAAGTATTGAAGTTCGTATACGATCGGGTATACTATTATACAATCGATATCGATGAAAAGTCGCGTTGCACGGGGCCCGAGGTGTTCCAGATGTGCCAGGGAAACATCCAGCCGGAGGCGGAGGCGTTGCCGACGCTTCAGCGGGCACATCTGGCGTCTCGTCTTGCCAAAGCCGTTCGTGATTCGGTTGGAGAAAACTGTGAAACCAATTAGCCGACCTAAGGCGCTTTTGGTGATCTTTCTGATGTCCATGCTGCTGGAAACAATGGCTCTCTCAAAGACAGAGAAGCTCAAGACCAAAATGGAGAAGCAAAAAGCACGCAACAGTGCAAGTTTCTTTGGGGCGCTGCAACAGAAAGATCGTGAAGATGGACAGAAAACCTCGAGTAGCGATGCCAGGAGCCCCGTTCGTAGCGTCCTTGCTCCGTTCGTAGCGATGCCCTTTGCTACTCTATTAGCGTCCTTGCTGATTTTTTCGGAACCGTTCCAAATCACTCGAAGGAACCGTCCTCTTCCGTGGATCGGCTATTAGAGAGCCTCTTTCGGCTCTGACGGATGGTTTGACGAGGTTTGAGAAACACTGATGGACGATGACTTCGGCTGGTTGGAGGCAATGTTCCGTACTAGGAGCAAAGTAAGGGCATCGCTACTAGGAGCAAAGGGCATCGCTACGAATGGAGCGATCGGACGCTACTAGGGTCGCTCCTGGCCTTACCAGTAACAAGAAGCTATTAGTAGCTAGAGGCCAGGCCATCGCTCTTTAAAGACTCCATTTTTGGTTTCGTTGCGTTAGGCGATGACTTCGCTTGAGCAGCTCTGACTCTCGATCAAATGGAAAGCTCTACGTCTGGAGCCGGTGATGCGACTGTTGGAGATCGGCCGGAGACCCTCGGCACTGAACCCGAACGCTTGGAGTTAGCTTGCTCCTAGTAGCGTTCTTGCTCCTAGTAGCGATGCCAGGAGCCCCTAGTAGCTTCTTGTTAGTATTGTCTAAAGATTTCTGCTTGGAGTTGTCGATGTTGTTTCTTGAACGTGCAAAATGGGCTCATCACTTGCTTTGCACAAGGACAATCTCTTGTATTCAAAGTTAACGATCATTTCGTGCCCCGCCCCTCTTCGCTGGCAGGCCTTGCATTTAGTAGTTAGTAGCTTCCTTTTTACAGATAAACTTGCGATAACTTGCGTGTTTGTTTGACCTTGTGTTTTTGTTGATATGTTCTTGCTTGTGTGTCACCTGTTTCTCCTTCTGTAGACCTTGTCATCTTTGTTTTTATCTTTAGACCTTTCCGACATGTGTTGTTTCTTGATTTTCTTGTTTTCTCTCGAAGTGAGGACCCATTTCGCACCCTGTCCCTCTTGTCGCATTGAGTAGCTTCCTTGCTATGATAAACGTAGGAAAAATTACGCCTCCAATGCCCTTTGCCCTCTTAGCACCGTGGCCAAGGATGGACACACGAGGCAGCGTGGTCTCGTTGAAGCGAAGAGGAGAGAAAACACAGGAATTGAGAGACTGCTTGGAGCTTGTTTGTCTCTTTGGACCTTTCTTTCTTTTTCCTTCTCTTTAGACATCGTCTTTAGACCATTCTTCCCTGCAAGCCATATGCTTGAGTTTCTGTCACAAACATTGCGAGGATCCCAAATGACCTTGGAGCTTCGAGCCGAACGGCAGACGGGAAAGCGCAAGAAGTCTCTTCCGCTGACGTCGCAACGGCTTCCGGAAATCATCAATGAGATCGGCATGGGACGGAGTTTTGGTTTAAGGACGTCACGAAAACGCACGTCTTCATTCAGAGGAATGATAGACTAAGCGGCCTCAGATGTTCAACCTTACAACTGAGTCTGAAGAAAAGTAACACTGCCGATCCTGAATAGTGTTTAACAATTCACCCAAGACTTCACAATGACCTCGCCAGAATTCGATGTTTGGTTTCTGAATGTGACGAGGTATCACTTGATCACCTTCGTCATTCTGGTTTTCACGCCACTGGCCGAAGGCGCTGGCATGATTGTCACTTGGTGAGTCTGTCATCAAACGACTCGATGACTGGGAAGCTGACGAAAGAAACACGAGAGGTCACTGGGAAAACCGGACTTTGAGCAAAATGCGAAAAGAGCAGGAAACACTGGATGTTCAGTTCTCATCGGATTCGGTTTCAAAGTTTGCTTCTTGTGATCGATGAGGTTATGACCAATATCACGCACGCTCTCAAGCATGAGTTTCACTTCTCAAATTGGCAAGCTGGAAGCCTGGACAGTTTCACCGAACGAGTGAAGTGATCTTTGAACGAAGTTGCACCGGTGAAAGACATCATCGCAGTTGAGGAATTGTTGATCCTGGCATCGCTACGAACGTAACAAAGGGCAGCGCTACTAGGAAACCAGAAGCTACGAACGTAGCGCTCCTGGCCAAGCTACTAACAAGGTTCGCTACGAACGGAACAAGCTTCGCTACGAACGTAGCTAAGGTAGCTAAGGGGTTGGAGACGAACAACCCACGTTGTTTCTTTTGTTCGATCTCCCAAACCGTTGTTCCGATCTCGCAGGACGCCTTTTCCTTTTCGGGCCTGGCCATTGGACACTATGTGGCCGGTTTTCTCGCGGATCTGAAGGGTCGACGCTTGCCGATCGTTCTCGGCTACCTGGGGATCAGCCTCGTAGGCCTCTTCATGACGCTGGCGTCCGGCTACAAGTCCATGGTACTCCTTCGGATCTTTCATGGTATCGCATGTGGTGTTGGAGTGCCACCAGCTATGTCAATGATCGCAGAGATCATGCCAAGTGACTGGCGGCCTTTCATGTTTATCATCTTCTGGAGCTTCACAGCCGTTGGCGAAACCTATGCTGCCCTTGGCCTTATCATTTTCATGCCCTCCTTAACCGAAAGCACATCCTGGAAACAGGCAGTTCTGTGGTCTGCTTTACCGGCTTTTCTGATGTTGCCTTCCGGATGCAAGAGGCAAAAACAAGACGTTGGATAAAAGAAAGATGAAAAAGATGAGAAAATGACAGATTTTCTATGTTTAGATTGGACGCCTTCGTTTGACGTGCTTTTTCATCTCTGTTTCAAGGCTTTCATCCCTGGCGCGGCTGCAAGAAAGCGCACATTGGTTGGCTGTGCGAGGGCATCTTGTCGAAGCGCGAATCGTGTTGGAACAGATGGCCCGCATGAACCAGCCGCTCGGCACGTGGAAAGAAAGGCCAAACGAAAAAAAGAAAGGCAAACAAGAAGCTAGTAGTAACAAGTGCCACGCTAGTAGTAGCAGGTGCCTTACTTCCAGTAACAAGAAGCTATTAGAAACAAGTGCCTTACTAGTAGTAACAAGTGCATTGTTGACCGAAGATGGCACCCACGAACCCAAATGAACACAGTAACAACAAGAATTTAATTAGTCATTTTTCTACAGACCCCTAACATGTAACAGTACTCCACATGTACAGTCATTCTATCTAGTCGCGTCTCACAAGAACACACATAAAATGTATGTTCCACCGCGACCTTCATGGCTCAAGAAAACGGTGCGTTCCAGCGTCGTTTTCGCAGGGTGCCACACTGTACTCCCTGTGGGGGTCGTGCTTTCGTCGCTTTCGCTTCTGCACTCTGCCTGCCTGCCTTTCGCTCGTTCGATCGCCGTCGCGCTTTCGTTCGTTCGATCCACCTTCGCAACGGGCTCCCGTCCATCAGAGACCGGTCGCCCTTTCGTGTCTGTTTCCCGGGCCGCTAGGGACTTAGCCTACTTCTTCAATAGGGCACCCCTGGATAATATAAGTTGGGCATTCCCATACTTACCCGGCGCATTACAGAATCAATTTAATTAGAATTGTTACTAGTAGTGAGGCACCCGTTCCTAGTAGCTTCTTGTTACTACCAGTAAGGCACCTGTTACTACTAGCGATGCACTTGTTCCTACTAGCAAAGGAATCTACTAGGACCTTTTCGCGCGGGGGGGGGGGGGGAGGAAGCTACTAGTAACAAGTGCCACGCTAGTAGTAACAAGTGCCTTACTAGTAGTAACAAGAAGCTAGTAGAAACAAGTGCCTTACTAGGCAAACCTTTGGTCTACAAAGTAACTTACGTGTCTACTCGAAGTTACTTCATGAACCAAATGTTCGGCTGAACACAACGAAAAGACAAGCAATGAACCATGTGAAGCAGCGCAAGAAGAGCAATCAGCTCGCATTCACGTCCTTTTGCTACGGGAGGGAGCCACATGAGTCATTCTATGGACAGCAAGCGGGACAAGCCCAGGGCCCTTGACAGAAAAAGATGGTGTCCAAAAGCAGTTCCCTTAGTCAGTGATGTGTTTCGCTTTTTATGGGTTGCTTCGATCTTTTCGTTTTCACTGGTTGCTTTGTATACTGTCTTTTTTGTAAATGTTCTTGCACTGTTCGGTTGTTTTTCGTCATTCCTTTGGAGCACATGCCAACTTGCAGCTCTCATCAGCTTTCCACCTCTTCAGAAACTCCTGTCTCACACGCGAGGAAGCTGGACGTGTTGAAGAAACTCGGGACACTGCCAGCATGTTCCCACGATTTGTCGATCCTGTACAACGTGGCCGGGATCAATTCAAGAGGCCGATGTCATCGGCCCCGATGACTCGGCGTCCGATCGCTCCCGTTCGTAGCGAGGCCAGGAGTAGTTTCTTTGTTTTTCTGGGTCTTTAAAGCAACCGCTATTGGGGAGGCCATCGCTTCTGGGTGGAGACCACCCCCAGTAGGTTGTGATTGGTAGCAATCGGCACGCTGGAGTCCAGTCCTGGAACGATGTTGGTTTGATTGAATGTAGCGAGAATGCACCAGGACAACACCTTGGGCAAGGAAAAGCCTTTGAACATGCCTCACCGGCTGAAATCATCAGGCTCTGTGGTTGAGTTTGGGCGGTTGTTTGGAGAACAGAATTGGCACATGTTTCTTTTGCTTCATGCTTCCGCAAGGATTTTGCTACAACCGAACATATTGAAGATGGTGCCTTGGCTTTCTTCGACAGAGTTTCATTCGGTCAGTGTTTTTCCCATCTCCGATGCTTGGGTTCTCGTTGTAAATCATTTTCCTGCGGGCCGCAGAATTGGGACAGACAGGAGGCGTGGGAAAGAGCTGTGGGGAAGCTACACTAAGACTCTGCGACGTGGAAGGTTTTGAAGCTATTAGTAGCAAGGCACCTTACTACTAGAAGCAAGAACGCTACTAGTAGCCCCTGGCATTACTACTAGTGACAAGGACGCTAGTAGGTTGGAGGTCATCGCAGTGTGAAATTGTTTGCGTTACTCCACCGTCCACTCTGAGCCGCAGTGAGCTGTTCAGCTGCCAGATATGGATGTAGTGGGCCTGCCTTAATTCTAATAGCTTCTTGTTAGTAGTAGCGATGCCAGGAGCCCCTAATAGCTTCTTGTTCCTAGTAGTATGGCCAGGAGCCCGTAGTAGCGTCCTTGCTCCTAGTAGTAAGGCCAGGCACCCCTAGTAGCTTCTTGTTCCTAGCAGCGTCCTGTAGTGGGCCTGCCGGGCGTAGATGGACAGGGCGTTTACAAATGGCCACTACGCTGGGTCCAGGTTGGTAGCTTTTGAGGGCTCGGAGGTGTGCAGGAAAGGGAAGGGTTGGGGTAGGGGGGTAAGGGAAAACATGTTTCAATGTGAAGGCGGACACTGCGATGTGAATTGCGAAGTGAAAAGTCCGCCCGTGTTTGTTTGTGGTTTTTCTTTGGTCCACCTTGCTTTCAGGTTGCTTTATTCTCCGTGCTGGCTAGCACTGGTAATATTGAGACATTTGGGCTCAGCAACGTTTGGCCTGCAAAGTCCTCAGTCAAAGTGAGCACGAAAAGTTGCGTTCAACAAGAAGCTACTAGGAGCAAGGACGCTACTAGGGGCTCGTGGCCTTACTACTAGGAACAAGAAGCTACTAGGAGCAAAGGGCATCGCTCCTAGTGAGCACGAAAAGTTGCGTTCAACTCTTTTTGCAACTTCTTTTTGTGTCTGAAACGGTCGGCAGCTCGCACTCGTGAACGAAGCTCGACAGGAACTCTTGCGGCATGAAGCCCATGGAGGCCAAATGACAAATTTGTTATGTTTTGTTTCAAAGAGCGATGGCCTCCAACCTAATAGCGTCCTTGCTACTAGTGGTGATGCCCTTTGTTACTAGTAGCTTCTTGCTCCTAGTAGTAAGGCCAGGAGCGCCTAGAAGCGTCCTTGCTCCCACTAGCGATGGCCTCCAACCTACTAGAAATGGCCTCCAATGAGAGGAGATCATTTTAGTCATGTTGGAATTGATTGTTTTTACAAAGTTTGAACTCTTTGTTTTTCAGAAGTACTTCTGATTGCTTTTGTTGAAACCAGCAGTTCGTTTGTTTTTTTACTTTGAATTTTGTAGTCATCCTTTTGGATGCTATTTGCTGGAAGGTCTTCATGAAGCTGTGGGCCCTGCCGTCAAGCTCATGTTCATTGTGAGTGTTGGCATACCTGTTGGTGTCCTTTGTGCATTGATCTCCTTATCAAATGCAGCATCCCATAAGATTTACATCATGATTGCTGGATTCTTGGGCTGTGTTGGACTGACCTGTATCCTTGTCTTCGAGCACTCGAGCGCCTTGCTTTTGACTTCCATGCTCATTACGCATATGTCCGGAAACCCAGACTTGCCCGGACTGTGCCTGGGACCGTTTTCCAAACGGGTGAGAGCCACTATGTTAAGACGAAGTTGCCTGCCACTAAGAGATGTTCATTGATTATTTGTCACTTTGTGTTCTCTCTTTATCTGGAACGAGGTCTGGGACCTTGGAATACTCGGTGGCGATGATTTGGTGCGAAGAGTCCTTTCCGACAAAGGTCCGTGCGGCCAAAGAATAAAATGGTGAAGTTAATCGTAGGTGTATTATGAATACAAGGAAGTGAAAGCAACAATGTTAATCCTTAGTAACCTTAGTAATGCCCTTTGTTCTGTTCGTAGCCTTCTTGTTCCGTTCGTAGTGATGGTTTAGGTCCGTGCGTCGGCCACGGGCGTCGTGATTTTCTTTGGCACTCTGTGGTCCGTCACTTCTCCTTTGCTCCTCACAGCAGTCGAAGACTCAGAGACACGACCGTCGTTTGGGTTAGTCCGACAGAGACGAAGAAGGATCAGAAGAAGCGGAGAAAGAAAGCTCGAGGAAAGTTAAGGTCTAAAGAGAAAAGGAAACAAAGGTCTGAAGAAAAAGAGGTGACAAGAGAGAAGAACTCAAACACGAGATGAGAGAAGAGAGATAAAGAAAGAGAGAGAGGAGCATTTAACCTAATAGCGATGGCCTCCAACCTAGAAGAGAGAGGATACTTAAAGGAGAGAGAGAGAGAGAGATGGTTCCGTGAGAATACACAAAAGATGAGACGAGAAGAGAGCGCAGTTTTTGTTGCAAGTGTTTCTTGGGGCGTTTGGTTTGCTGAGAGAGAGATGGCATGAGGCGACATTGTTGCGAATGGATGGAAAGCACTTTTTCTTTTTGGCCGACCTCCCCTCCAACCTAAGAGCAATGGCCCCTAGTAGCGTCCGATCGCTCCTAGTAGCGATGCCCTTTGTTCCTAGTAGCTTCTTGCTCCTAGTAGTGAGGCCAGGAGCCCCGTTCGTAGCGTCCGATCGCTCCGTTCGCAGCGATGGCCTCCGACACGAGCATTTGCGAGGTCGGTGAGAAGGGTTTCATTCTCATCGCTGGCGTTGCCTTTGCCATGGCTCCTTTAGCAGCGTTGCCGCTCCAAGAGACACATGGCCCCTCGGCATCAGGGATTGGCACGATCGAATAAGCCCAAGAATGAGACTGGACTTGTTTTGAAACATGAACATAATACATCTTGATGCACATCATGATACCATACATGTTTGTTTTTTACTGCTTGAGGTGGCAACAAAAAAACACACCTGCACAACGTTTTAGAACTCAATGAAGATAGGCGGCATAGCACTTCGAGTCATTTTGGAAGGTGCAGAGCTGCAAGATTTCGCGGACGAGGAGGACGAGGAGGAGGACGAGATCGAGGAAGAGGACGAGGACGAAATCGAGAGCAGTGCACCACGACGCGACGGAATTCAGCTCTCTTGGGCCTTCTCCAACGGGACGATTGGCGCCTTCGGCGAGTTTGGCTCTGTGCGTCCTCCGTTGGAACCACGTGGTGCGATTCGGTGCGGGGTTGTGAGAACGAGAGAGATGAGAAGTGAAAGATACGAGTAGCTTCTTGTTACTACTAGTAAGGCACTTGTCACGAAAGGTAGCCCTTTAGGGGATACCTTGAGTTTGTCTTGCGAAGCAAGTGTTGGCGCGTCCGGGTCAAATAATTGATCACTCAATTCAACACCCCCCCCCCCTCCCCCCACAAAATCAATTCTCTCCTGGAGAACGTCTTCGTGAGCCTCTCATGATTTCAGGATAGTTGAAACCCTTTTGAACATTCAGAAAGAGTGCATATGAAATTCTAATCACGAAAGGTGTTCCCCGAGGGGATACATACCTAGAGTTCGTTTTGTGAAGCACGTCAATTCTCTCCTGGGGAACGTCTTCGTGAGCCTCTTATGGTTTCAGGATAGTTCAAATCCTATGATGCTCCGATTCAATTCCGATTCAATGCTTACCGATGATCTGAGCCATGGGGCAAGTTTGTTTTCCTAAGAATATTTTTGAACATTTCGAGAGCATATGTTTGAACATTTAGAGTGCATATGAAATTATATTTACGAAAGGTCGCCTCCGAGGGGATAAATCACCATGTCGAACATTGCATTTTTGTTCCTGCCTCTCGCGTTCTCTTCTCTTCCCGCTGTCCTACCTTTCGTGTCTCCCTCCTCTCAAGTTACTAGTAGCGATGCACTTGTTTCTAATAGCGAACATTGTTACTACTAGTAAGGCATTTGTTACTACTAGCGTGGCACCTGTTACTACTAGCTTATTGTTACTACTAGTAAGGCATTTGTTACTACTAGCGTGGCACCTGTT